TGCATCAGCTAATGGATCGGACAACCTGTTAGGCCCGGCTGGGCTCACAAGAGGCCCGTGAATTGGGTTAGCATCGACAGGGTTCAGGTCCTCAGGGTGGAGGACCATTTACCAATCAAGTGGGCCTTCTAAGGCTGGCCTGAGCTTGTTGCATAACTGGGCCGAGCCCTGCTGTTGTCAGCCTACGCTGTTTTATAAGAAGCGAGACAAAACTGAGACAAGAGTTAAAATAAAGTTTAGCGATCTTATCGAAATAATTCAGAGTCTCCCCGCATAGAAGAAGAAATAATTCTGAGTAATTACTTGAACAGTTCAACTAAATCAGTCAAATAGAAAATGTTATTATGGTTCCAATTCTGCTGGATCAGTTCATATACCTTGCCGGAACTTGGAACCAACCTACGAGGTAACTTTTTTCTCCAGGGATAAGATTTGATCATATGAATCATGAATGGTGTTCCAAAAAAAAAAAAAGATTTGATCATTTGAACATTAGAACATACGATGCAGTACGCACACTCTGTACAGCAGTACAGGTGAGCACCTTCCAACTCGGGCCACAGCATATGATACCACCAGATTACCAGTGCTACCGACGGGCCCCGCGTGCGTCTGCGGCAAGGCGGCAATCTCCTCCGTGCTCCAAGACCAAGCAGTACTGACTGCAGAGTAGTAAAAACAACAGAAAAACGCACGGCGTTCTGCCCAAACCTGGCGCGCTAGCCGCTTGGACACGGGCACGGACACGGACGGACGGATCGATGTTGCAGGATGCGGATGTTCCCCGCGTGCTTAGCTTCTCGGACTCTCATCTCTCTCACGCCTAGGGGTGGACAAAAAGCTCGGGCTCGTGAGCTCGGCTCGGGCTTGGCTCGAGCTCGCAAAGCTCGGCTTGGCTCGAAAAGAAAACGAGCCGAGCCCGAGCCGCCTCCAGAGCTCGTTTGTAAATTGAGCCGAGCCCGAGCTAGCTCGCAAGCCGCTCGGTAGGCTTGTCAAGCTGGTGAAAAAATGACATTGGCCCATTAACAATTCCCCATCCCAGGCCCAATGAAAACCCTAACCTTCCCTTGCTACAGAAACTATTCCCCTTCCCACTTCCCAGTTCGTCGCCGCCGCTACTCCATCGCACCGAGACCGAGTCCCTCCCTCTGGGCGGCGCAAGGAGTTGCCGGCCGCTGGCCCGCCGCCTCCCTCCCAGTCCCTAGCAGAAGCGCCGGCGCGCCGCTCGACGCGGCAGCCTCAGTTCCGCCAGCCAGCCGCCTCCCTCCCCTGCGCCCTGCGCGGCTGCGCTGGCTCCGGCCTCCCTCCCCAGCCGCCCAGCGACGCTCGACCCCAGTGCCATCGCGGCGCCGCCTCTCTACCCTGCACCGCCTTCGGCCTCCCTCTCCTGTGCTACCCGCGTCCCTGACTCGACGGTCGACGCCGTCCATCACCTCGCCGAGACGCCAACCGATCGATGACAGTTCACACAGCGACGAGCCTAGGATGAAGAGGTTCGTGATGTATTTTCTGATTTTTGTGATTCATTTCTCAGTAGCTGTGTATATGCGTGATGAATTGATGTGTATATGCGTGATGAATTGATGTGTATGTGTGCAGTGTGTGCTATTATCAATGATTCAATCACAGAAAGGTTGAGGCAAATAGATCAAAATTGTTATACCTACACTAATATACTATACTTAATTCGAGCCATATGTTTTGTGTAGTAAATAGAATCTGTAATGCACACTTGCTGTTAACTTGCTGAAAATTGATTGCACTATTGTTGAAGTATTTACTTGCTGTTGTGCATCACAAGCTGGCTCGAGCTGGCTCGAGCTTTGAAACGAGCCAAGCCGAGCTGCATTTTTTGCTCGTTCTCTTTATCAAGCCGAGCCGAGCCGAGCCTGTTCTTGACCAAGCTTTCACGAGCCGAGCCGAGCTTGGCTCGGCTTGGCTCGTTTCCACCCCTACTCACGCCCTGACGGAAAACACGGGCAGATAGTTAATCAGTTGCCACGTACTCCCTCCCTCCCATAAAAAAACGAATCTAGTACTAGATGAGACACATTCTAGAACTATAAATCTGAACATATGTCCAGATTCGTAGTATTATAATATGTCAAATCCGGTACTATATGTTCAAATTCGTCACATCCGGTACTAGGTTGGTTTTTTATGGGACTGAGGGATTATGACCTTATCTTGTCGCTTATGTTTATGCATATTAGCGAAATTTAAATTTGGAGTTGATTTAGAGATTTTTTTTCATCGAATTTATTTTTCAACCTTTGATCTTAGATCGTTAGGAACACGTATATAAAATTTTTATTCTTCGTTTGTAAATACGCTGTTGTAAGCGAAATCCAGCGAGTAGCTCCTGTATGTTCCTTTTCATTCGCCAAAAAAACGAGGGTTCGTTATGGTCAGCCGGCCGAATTGGGCAGCTGGCAGCCGTTGGAGTATAGTATTGTGCTTGCCGACATGGCTTTGTGGAACTCGGTAGACTTTATAAGTATATCCTGAAAAGAAACTTCCAAGCAAAATATAGGAGACTAATCATGTCAGACCAAGAAAAGTACAAACGCGAGAGAAAATCAGGAGGTTTAATACTCCTATTCTTTTTTGAGAACCTAATACTCCTATTCGACAAGGTGCTACAAACGGGTACGTCTAATGGGCGATCGATCACCATCAGATTCGCTCCCCACCCCTCCCCCTCTCTTTCTCTATCTAGTTTCCTTTTTTTGGCACCACATTACTTTCCTATTTTAGTAATTTATGCATCTAAAGTTTATACACCTCAAGTTTATACATCTAAAGTTTAGAGACTAAAAGTTTATAAGTCAAAAGTTTATATATCCGATTCAAATATGAAATTGAATTCAAATATTTTTCATATATAGTATTTCTATATATCTAAAGTTTATACACCTAAAGTTTATAGAGCTAAAGTTTATATACCCGATTCAAATTCAAATTTGAATTATATCCGATTCAAATTTAAATTTGAATTCAAATATTTTCTATATATAGTATTTCTATACATCTAAAGTTTACACACCTAAAGTTTATAGACCTAAAGTTTACGTACCCGATTCATATTTGAATTTAAATTTGAATTCAAATTTTTTATATATAGTATTTCTATACATAATTTTTTCTAACTTTTTATTTTTTTAAAAAAATTATGGAGATGTATAAACTTGAGGTGTATAAACTTTAGGTTTATAAATTTACTAAAATAGGAAAGTAATACGGTGCTAAAAAAGAAAATCAGGTGGAGTAAGGGAATCAGAAATTTGATCGCCCCTAGCGATCCCTAGCGATCGATCGCCAGGTAGCATTCTCGGCTACAAGCTGACTCCAAATTTAACTACCAGGGCAGGGGCACTCAAGATATGCAGTCATGTTTAAAATATTCAGATCAGCACCTGATTATAGCCGTTGGTGAGTGGTTGTCGTTCAAAAGGCCAACCTGGGGACATGATGTTTAGGATTCCAGATCGCAAGGTCGTCGCACACGTGAATTACTAGTAGCTACAGTTCATAGTATAGTGCAAGTTCCTGTGTGAAATTCGGCTTCTGTACGGTCACACATTTGAATTTAGTTTTCACAACGGTAATTTAGGAAATGCACTGGTCCTTGCGGCGTGTTAAATACCTGAATGTGGCAAAACACCCCGTGCCCGTCATGACTCGGAATTACTCTCTGCATTGATGATCTTCAGCAAAGTACTTCAATTATGTGCGATACTCGCCAGTATCCAATGTGATGTCCAAGGTACTGTGTATAGTCCCCGCATTTAATAATATCGGTTCATCTCCTTGGAAGTACCCATTCATATATATTACGAAATTTTTAACTCTATGCTAATTTGACATAAATAAGTTGGTAAATGCCAATGAAACTGGATGTTCATTTGGTTTGTTGCCCAAAAATTGCCGAGGCCAAATTATTTGCCAAGAAAAAAAGGGGCTAAAACAATTTCCCAAAGTTTTGGCAACAAATGGACCACCGACACTCTACCAAAATTTCGACAACACCGAATCTTGTTACTAGCTCTTTAATCGAATAATTTGCATTGACATTATATTTCATCTCAAATTTTGACTACTTCTTCTAGGAAAAAACAATTACAAACACTTTAAAAATATGTTATATTATTGAAGTGTCATTTCACATATATAACAATACAATTTCCAGTCATCGGAACCTAACCATTTAAAATTAATTTATAGTCAAAGTGAGATGTCAATAGTGTTTTTTTTGTCCATTATCGTTTTCTTGTAGTTTTTTTTAAACTCCATTGTATGTGCATGGTAGGTTACATACAAAAATTGTGAAATAGAAATAGTAGCTATACTTCATACTTTCTACGTAGTTGATATTCACTGGTAGCAATTACTATTTTAAACCATTTTAAATCCTATGTAAGTATGACATCATCTATAAAATAAATCATCTTTCTCATATTGGGATTGTTTGGCTGCCCTTTATTTGGTTGTGGCTATAGCTATCGCTAGTAGATTGCTAGTAGCCATGGCTGTGCGCCGCAGCCGTTTACATTGTGTGCAACAGTAGTAGCTGTTTGAAAACTTGCAAATTGATGTTTTTCATCCCCTCCTTATCCCTCGTACTAAACAATTGAAGAAACACATAATATGTCGATGCCGAAAGGACAATATAAGTAAAGAAAATGTCATTTTCTAAAAAGAATTAAAAGTAGCATTGTAAAATAGACAGCTCATGTTACTATGCCGTATGGCACCCTGTATGCTCCAAAAAAAACGTACATGGGCTCCACTCAACAACCCTATTCTCCATGGGGTCTCGCATTCAAAAACACCCACCAAAGAACAATCGACAGAGAGAGCCACAGAGCCATTGAAAACAACCCCAGGGGAAGAGAAGACAAACGACTCAGCGCAACGGTCTCCTTGGGTTGGAGAAGACTCAAACAAACAAAAAAATCACCAAAAAAAAAAAGAAAAAAACAAAGTACTACTCCTCCACTGTACACCACCGTCTCTTGCACTCCTCTCGCCTCTCTCTCTCTCTCTCTCTCCCCCCACAAATTCAACAAGATCGTCGTGGGGAGCACAGCCCGCACGCGGTGAAGCGCCCGCTCTCTCTCCATCCACCACCTCCAACCTCCCCCAAAACCTCCACCTCCACCGCCAAATTCGCGAAGGAGTTCAAACACTCGAAGGGCCATGGCTGCCGCCGCGGGGCTCCGCCGCTCAACCGTCACGCCGCGGGGAGCCGCCGCCGCGTGCCTGCGTTTTTCCGGAGCCGGCCGCCGCCTTCGCCCAGCCTCGGTAACGGCCTGCTCCCTCCCTCCCTCCCCGTGGGCGCTGCTACTCGCTTGAGCATTGCTGGTTGGTTGGCGAGTTGTTCGGTGATGTTGATCTCTGGCCGGGGGGTACTGTGTCGGCTGTTAGGTCTGGGTGAACTGGTTCATGCAGATCTGTAGTACTATTAATTAGTTTGGGGATTTCGCGAGAAGGATGATTGGTAACCTGAGCAGGAGCTGGGTGGGGTGGTGGTGGTGATGGATTTGATTTGATTAATCGGTGGTTCTCAAGTTGTATCCGATTATCGGACGTGCTAACAACTGTACTAATTACGTGCGTAATTACTTCGTAAGGGTCCACAGAAATGCTTGCCTTCTCCTCCACCCGCTGCATCAATCTCGTCAGCAGCCTTGCCCCGCACTCAAATTCACAGCAACAGGACGAATTCGTGCATCTCGTCCCCGTTGGTGGCTTGGCTTGTTGTTCCTTTTGGTTTTTATATGCCTTGCTTCTTGGTTGGGTCTGTTGTATAATGGTCCCGCACTGCTTGCAGATGGTGTAGGAGAAAAGAGGGATAGGAGAAGGGGGGAGTGAGCGGGAGAGAGATGGGGGCGATTGGAGGCGACGAGCTGGTGCAGTGGGACAAGATGGGTGCAGCTGAGGCAGTCAATGGCGGCTGTGGAGGCGCCGGGAAGATGGATAGGATACAGGTGTTGGTGAGGCTGAGGCCGCTGAGCGAGAAGGAGGTTGCTAGGAGGGAGCCAGCGGAGTGGGAGTGCATCAATGACAGCACTGTCATGTTCCGGAGCACCTTCCCTGACCGACCCACGGCGCCAACAGCATACACGTTCGGTGAGTTTGCTGATACAATTGTTGCAGATGGTCATTGCTTAGATATTCTTGTGTTGGAGAATAGTAGATAACATTTGTAATCATGGTTCATGGAACCTTCAAACAAGATATTGGCTTTGACTCTTTCACAATTGTGTATATTCGTCATATTACAATTCATATCATTTGTCATTGACAGTTTGAAGCATTTTGATGTACAGAATTGCTATGTAAGGTTATTTTGATAGTACAGTAGATTGGTAATGCTGTTCTCTAAAACTAACTTGTCACTGTAACACAGTGTTTCGTGGATTAGTAATATTAGAAGAATTATGATTGATGCTGGTTAAGTAAATGCAGTCCAAGATTGCAGGGAATGGTTGTGGTTGGTTGCCCAGATGAGAGCCCACCTTGTTAAAGAAACTTTATTGAGATTGGCTTCATTTTAATAATTTATGCCAGAGGCACCATCCTAGATAATTGTGTTCTCTTTGGTGCATCATGTCACCTGGAATTTCCTGATTCAGTCCTCCAAGTTAAATTCTGGACCCTGCATGATTAACATAAGCATCCTTTCATTGCAGATAGGGTATTTCACTCTGATTGCAGTACCAAAGAAGTCTACGAGGAAGGGGTGAAGGAAGTTGCCCTCTCTGTAGTTAGTGGCATTAACTGTGAGTGCAAACCACACACGACACATACCACAATTTCAAAATATGTTAAGACATTTGAGCTAAATCAGAGTGCATTCCCTTTTACAGCAAGTATTTTTGCATATGGACAAACCAGCAGTGGAAAGACATACACTATGACTGGAGTAACAGAATATACAGTAGCAGATATATATGATTATATTAACAAGGTAACCAAACTTCCGTCCATCTTCTGATCCCATGTCAGAGTTTGGTCGTATTTTACAGTCTTCAAATGATCTTTTTTTTTCAGCATGAAGAGAGAGCCTTTGTGTTGAAGTTCTCTGCGATTGAAATATATAATGAAGTTATACGGGATCTTCTTAGTGCGGAAAATACCCCTCTTAGACTCTGGGATGATGCAGAGGTGAAAAAAGGGCTCCTTATTATCCTTGATAATTATTATCCTGCAATGTATTTGCTTCTGACTTTATTATGCTATTTATTCAACAGAAGGGCACCTATGTAGAGAATCTTACAGAGGTTGTATTAAGGGATTGGAACCATCTCAAGGGACTTATTTCTGTGTGTGAAGGTGCAAAATTGATTACTTATAGCAGGCATACATTATTTGTAATTGGTGAAACCGTTTATCTCACATGTGCTTATGTACTTGCAATAGCTCAAAGGAGGACAGGGGAGACCTTCTTAAACGAAAAAAGTTCTAGATCCCATCAGATACTTCGATTGGTTTGTTCTTTACTCAAATCTATGAATTACTCCCTCCGTCCCAAAATAAGTGCAGCCATGGTTTTCTGCGCCCAACTTTGACCGTTCGTCTTATTTGAAAACTTTTTTAAAAAAATTAAAAACAGAAGTCACGAGTAAAGTACTATTTATGTTTTATCATCTCATAACAATAAAAATGCTAATTATAAAAAAATTTCAAATAAGACGGACGATCAAAATTGGGCGCAGAAACTCATGGCTGCGCTTATTTTGGGACGGAGGTAGTACTTTGGTATAAATTGTTATCTTTGAGTCTATGCTTCATTTTGGCTGATGTATTTGTCAAGCAATTCAGACAGTTGAAAGCTCTGCTCGCGAGTTCTTAGGAAAGGACAAGTCAACTACACTTGTGGCTAGTGCAGTAAGAATAACATCTTACAAGTCTATCATGGAGTTCTTTTTATTGGAAAAATTAGGTGCATGCATTATTCATTCTCCATTTCTCCCCATGCAGAACTTTGTTGATCTGGCTGGAAGTGAGCGTGCATCTCAGGCATTGTCAGCTGGCACAAGACTGAAAGAAGGTTGTCACATTAATAGGAGTTTGCTTGCCCTTGGCACTGTCATTAGAAAACTGAGGTCCGAATCTCAACTTGAAACTGTGCAATTTTATTTAGTTCAATCCACATTATAGGAAAATTTGGTTGTCTTATTTAGAGAATAGTTTGTTGCTTGACAGAGTATGATTTTTTAAGGATGGCTGTAGTCATGTAGCTCCATATATGTTTTGATTTCACACTTGTCGCTTTAGAGAATTCTAGGAAAGATATATATTTGGAGCATGTATTATGTGCACAGAATTTGTGCAAAAATATTGTTAGATATGTAAAACATAAAAAGGCAATAGGGTTGCATTTGTTTGATAACAGATAATATATATCATTTTATTTTGTGTAGTACATGTCATGTTTTGCACAATTTTTTGTGTGCTGACATATTTAAGCATGCTTTATGCATATGTATTTTCTTTTGGGATTTTATATAGTGTACAATAAAGTGGGATGTTTACAGTAATGTTTGCTTGGAATTTCGCCCAAGTGATATCAGTTATATCTTTTCATTAATGCAGCATGGGAAGTAATGCACACATACCGTATAGAGATTCAAAGCTTACACGCATACTACAGCCATCTTTGGGAGGTAATGCAAGAACTGCAATTATTTGTACACTGAGCCCTGCCACTAGCCACATTGAGCAATCAAGAAATACTCTGCTATTTGGGAGTTGTGCAAAGGAAGTAGTTACAAATGCTCAGGTTAATGTGGTCATGTCTGATAAAGCACTGGTTAAGCACTTGCAAAAGGAACTTGCTAGATTGGAGAGCGAGTTGCGGCATCCAGTTCAGAGTTCCAGTCTCGAAACATTATTGAAGGAAAAGGACAACCAAATCAGAAAGGTAAAGTTACCTGTCACTTTTCTTACCTCCCTGTTTTCTCCTCCACGGCTCATACTGGAATTTGCAGAAAACTATTGTTTTTGTGTGCATCTGGTCTATCTTACTTGCTGCCACTTTTGCCTTGTCCATTACGAGTATTTCCACACTATTCTACTTGACAAAAAAAGTTTGTTGTTTCTGTTGCACACATCCATAAAATTTCATGTCATGTCCATTGCAGATGGAGAAAGAAATAAAAGAACTGAAGTCACAACGTGATTTGGCTCAATCCAGGTTGCAGGATTTGCTGCAATCTGTCGGTGATCATGACCTGAACCGTCAAGTATATTCTCTGCCATGACTTCTGAAATTTAGTTTTGTTTCATCTCGTTGTTCCGGCAGGGTCATGTTTGTTTTGTTTATATTTTAGGTTCAAGGAAAGCATTCAGTCAGAAGCCCTCCATCTGTTGGAATGCCCCCAAGCGTCAGCAGAGATGATAGTTCTCAGGTCTCTCATGATGATTCAGATCTTTACAAGGAAGTGCGATGTATTGAAAGCAATCGGACAGGAGGAAATGACCAGTTGGACTTATCAGCTGGTGAAAGTAGTAGCCCACAAGATTCAAATATGAATTCTGGTTTGCATGGAAATGATTCAAATGCATCAGTGAATTCTAGGCATTCAAGGCCCTCTGGCGAAGCTCCTATTACTTTGGAGGAACACTTGGAGAATATTAGAAGGCCTTTTGTCAGTCTAGCCAAAGATCTAGGATCTTCAACACGTAACTCATCAAACTTAAGAGTAATTGGTAGAAGCAGGAGCTGTAGATCACTGACAGGTTCTACTATGTTTGACGATATGGAGATGGATGATTGCACTCCACTAAATAGAAGTTTGGTGGAGTTCCCAGGAAGACCTGTGGAATCTCATAGAAGAGGATCTGCACTGCACTATGATGCAGAGACCGACACACTTTCAAGGGCAGGATCCATGAGTTCTGAGATCAGCACTTTTAAGGATGCAAAGACAAATGGGTCTGTTGCATGCGATACAGAATTCACTGGTATTGGTGAATTTGTTGCTGAACTCAAAGAGATGGCCCAGGTTCATTATCAGAAGCAGTTAGGTGACCAGGTATGAAAATATCTAATTAGCTTTGAGGGCACTTAGCTCTGCAGTTCATTTAATTATTGTTTTATTCAAGAAAAATGTGATTATGTGATGCTGGTTTGGAAAATACATGCTTATATATAGTATTGCTTCGGTTTAACATCCTGGCTCTTGGGACTCTATCATAGAATTTCAACAATTTCTCCCACCCCTCAAAAGCCACATACCATTAGCATTCCAACTAATAATCTAAAATAAATAGTGTTTTCTGCTGAATACTTCTTTTTCTATGCTTCAGCAAGTAATTAAATTATTGGCATTTCATCCATGTTTTAGAATGCAAATGGAAAGAGCATCGGATTGGACCCGATCGAGGGTGTTTCTCAGTCACCTTCTCGATGGCCTTTGGAATTCGAGAAGAAGCAGCAAGAGATCATCGAGCTTTGGCAAGCTTGCAGCATTTCCTTGGTCCACAGGACTTACTTTTTCTTGCTATTCAAGGGAGAAGCAGCTGACTCGATCTACATGGAAGTGGAGCTTCGAAGGCTATCATTCCTGAGAGATACATACTCAAGGGGGAGCACCCCTAGCAATGCGATAGTAGGCAGCCTGAGTACTTCCCCTGTTGCGAGGTGCGTAAATTACTCGTTTCCATTCATTCACTTCTTTTGTGCCATAACCTTAAAATTAGCGCCAAACCATCACGAGCAACTCATAAGCCCCGTGCTCTGCTGTAATGCAGCGCAAAGAAGCTGCAGCGGGAGAGGGAGATGCTTGCCAGGCAGATGCAGAAGCGGCTGTCCACGGAGGAGAGGGAGCACACGTACACAAAATGGGGTGTCTCGCTGGACTCCAAGAGGAGGAAACTGCAGGTCGCTCGCCGCCTCTGGACCGAGACGAAAGACCTGGAGCATGTCAGGGAGAGCGCGTCCCTGGTCGCCAAGCTGATCGGGCTCCAGGAGCCAGGCCAAGTTCTCAAGGAGATGTTCGGGCTCAGCTTCGCGCCGCAGCAGCAGCCGACCCGGCGGCGATCCTCCAACGGCTGGAGATACGGGATCCCTTCGTTCGCCTGATTTGGATCGACCACACACGAAACAAGGCTGACACGACGATGCGACTGACCAAAGGATCTTTTGTTTTTTCTCCTTTTATTTTTTCCCCTTTTCGATCTTGGTGTATCTGCATGTTCTGATTGTCCATAGGATTTTAGGAAGCACAAAATTGATGGTGGCGTCCGTTTGCGCCCTTTGTGTTGCCGGCCTCGTGCATGTTTCTGCCCAGCCGCCGCCGGTCTTTGATTGCTGCTGACATTATATCGCCGCAGAGCCAATCGGTGTTGTGTTGTATAACGTGTGCTAGTTTCTCGTATTTTGCTTGTAGATCCGCTTGATATAACTGTGCTTACTAGAAATGCCGAAGAGAATGCCGCATGTGACTGGAGTGTATTTTTACAAGCTGGAGTAGGTTTTACTCTCTTTGGTTTGATAATTCTTGATGAACATGAGAACAAACTTTTATAACTATCAATGGCTTTAAAATTTATTTTGTTTATAATCACTAGAATAACATATATAGATTTATTTCACAAAGTACTATAATAAAAATAAAAAAATGTTTATTTATTGTATATATTATAAATAGAAAAATATAGTTAAAAATATGTTTTAAAGGCCGTTTCATTGTTCAAAATATCAAGAATTATGAAACCCGGAGAATTAATCTTTACGGCATCCACATTTTGAGGTTTTGAGGCAATAGTACCTCAGCCGGATGTCTAATCCATCGTTTTTCCATACTATTTCAGCGGGGGTTATCGACCTTCACGATATTATGGGTGTTGCTCGGTAGCTGTGAAAAACCGTATAAAATTCGTCAAAATTTTAAACAAATTATTTTGATCTGACAGTGGTTCCATAGTTTTGAGATAGTTACTCGCGATTTCAGACGGTAACCACATGGTAAGCTGCGGTTATTGTGAACTGTTTGGAAGGGGAAAAAAAAGGGAAAACGCAGTAGAAAATCAAGAGGAAATTTAGGATAACTACAAGAATACTCCCTCCATTTCAAATTGATCTACATATAGTTTTTTTAGGTTATTTCTAAATGATATACATATTTGTGTTCATTCATTAGGTCTATTTGTTATTTGTGCATTGGAGTAAATGGACATTGATGCATGCATCCATGCACACAAGCATTTATAACCCACATGCAATATCTTGATTTGCTATTGGCTAGAAAATAGTAGGGATGGTGCATGCATTGAGTTTGTTGCTAGAGTAAATATAATATGAGAGAGTTATTAGCTTTTCTTGGTCTTGGTGTACCTATAAAATATGTAGATCAATTTGGAATTGAGGGAGTATGTTGGAGGCATTTCGAACATATAGAACTACGTATTGATGTAATGTAAGAAAATTTGACATGAATTTTGCTATACTTTTTACATTCCAGCAATAAAGAATCTTCACTATTCCTTTTTCTTTTGGTCATTTTTAATCCATTATTAGTTTGGCTTGAGAATATGGGGTTGTTTAGTTGTGCTACTTGCCGCTGCATTACACTTAGGGGTGGCAACAGGGCGGGGCAGGGTCGGGTTGGGCTGGAATGCCCCCGCCCCCATCCTCCTGTAGGTATCCTCAGCCCCGGTCACGCGAAGGCAATCAGGTGGAAAACATCACCCGTCCCCGTAGGTGACCCGCATGGGTGACTTGGGCCCCGCATCACCCGGATAAAGATAATACTCCATAAAAATAGGACAATGCACCTAATAATAATATGATAAAATTTCAAAATTTCAATAGCAATGTATACTCATCGGTCAGTACACAAATACATAAAGCACATGATCAAGGTCATATGCATACATCATATGGTCTATCTTCTAATTGAAATGATGCATAATATGGTCTATCTTCTAATTGAAATGATCAAGCACATATACATACTTGATACATCATATGGTCTATCTTCTAATTGAAATGATGCATAATAGACAATGATTAGCACGAGGCAAATTGGACAGCGGCTGGCTGCTTGGTGACTCGGCGACGACGAGTCGATGTGGAGATGAATCGACGACGAGGCGATGTGGAGATGAATTGATGCAACGAAATAGTAGACGGTAAGAAGGGGGTTGGTTGAAGTAAGGAAAGAGATAAGGGTCGAGGGAAACTAGCGTCTTGAGCTTTTATATGTCAATTTGGAATGAGTTTAATGGGCCTATATTATTGCAATGGGCTACTTTCAGAGAGGTACTCCTTCCGTTTCACAATGTAAGTCATTTTAGCATTTCTCACATTCATATTGATGTTAATAAATCTAAACAGACAGACAGACAGACAGACAGACAGACACACACACACACACACACACACACACACACACACACACACACACATATATATATATATATATATATATATATATATATATATATATATATATATATATATATATATATATATATATATATATATATATAAATTCATTAACATCAATATAAATGTGAAAAATACTAGAATGACTTACATTATGAAACGGAGGAAGTAACTCACATCCGGTGCCCCTTCGGGTTACCCGTGGGTTAATTCCGATCCCCACCCTCGCTCACCCGCAGGTGAAAATTCTCCCCCGGCCCTGGCTCTAACGGAAAAATTGCCACCCCTAGTAACAGTTACAGGAACAACATCCACAATGAAAAAAAAAGAACTACAACTGTGCAGGTATAACTGTTACGGCTGTGTTAATGCAACTAGCATAAACGATAAGAGTCTATTATGTTAACCTTCTCTCTTTTTTATCACAAAATTTGTATAAGTAGTACTTACAAGAATTTTTCCAATTTCTTTTTTGAAAATTTAAATTTAGATAAAATTTATCAAACCCTATAGCCGATTACCCCTACCTTAACTTTACGGAACGCACGGTTACCTCACGGTAACCGGTCGGCTGGGAAAACCATGGTCCAATCTGATCAAACTGGAGTCTGTCTATACCAAATTACCAATTTTTCCTGGCTTGATCGCTTTGTTTTATGAAGAACGCTGGCAACGCTGCCAAGTTGGGTCATTGGGCCCCGCGCCTGGGAGTCATGATACTGGTTCATGCCTTTGCGACGCCCAAAGATAAATAAAGCTGCGTGCCTGCCGTGCCATGCACACAGCAAACACGGCGCGGAGAGACTCCCCTGCTCACGAACTCACACGAGTCACGAGCGCTGCCGCTGGACGATATCCAACCCTCCTTCAACTTCAAGGTCTGGGGGATTGGGCCAGTGGGGTGGGGGGGGGGGGGGGGGCGCAATGGGCCTGGCCGTCTCCTTTTGATGGGTTCGATGAGGCGAAGACGACGAGGGACCTAAAAGTTGGAGGACTACTACAACATGGCCCTATGGACGCAGTGGATGGTCCCGTAGGACCTTCTTGTTCTTGGTACGGGACGAATGGCATTGACCAGAGTTAACTATTGCCGTTTGTTGGTTTAGGAAAGTGGTATTCCTATTTCCTAGGATTTTGCATCTTGATTGATCACTAGTGCCATTATGCTATACCTACGGTTTCGTTTTTTCTACTTTCTAGCATCATGCACCGGGACAATCATGCTTTGGCTGTACTACCGCGGTAGAGTATAAAATGTATACTCATGCTTGAGCATGTAGGAGTAGAAAAATGTAATGTTAGACCCATCTACTCCCTCCGTCCAAAAAAAAAAAAAAGGCAAACCGCGGATTGCGTGCCAACGTTTGACTGTCCGTCTTATATATGAAACTTTTCTATAATTAGTATTTTCATTGTTGTTAGATGATAAAACATGATGAATACTTTATGCGTGACTTATCCTTTTATTTTTTTTCATAATTTTTTCAAATAAGACGGACGGTCAAACATTGAACACGGAAACCAGAGATTGTCTTTTTTTTGGGACAGAGGGAGTAGGCCTCTTACAAAATGAACAAAAAAAATTCTGATTCCTATTAAACGAACTGATTGCCATAAAAACTTCAGGATTTCATTCATGCCCTCCGGCGACCTTAAAATGGCGGCAAAATTTAGGAGTAGTAGATGTTGAATTTCAAAAAAGAAAAAGCTGTAAAATTCGTGCCTGCCAAAGCGAAGCGTGGGGTCTGGGTCGAGTTACCAGTTCTGGAGGAAAGAAAAGAAGCGTACAAAAGGCCACGCATAGCGACGACGACGACGACCATTCCGAAGCGCGGACAAGGACACCACCTCCTACCGTCCCACTCCCACGCCGCGACACACGCCACTCCCCGAGAAAGCCATGACGCGCCGGGCCAACCACACCGCCTCGCCCTCCGTGAACGCCACGACGGCGGCGGCGGCGGCGGCCATGATCACCGCCACCCCGTCCCCGCCGCCGAGGCTGCCGCTTCCCAACCCCGGCAATGCCGACGCCGGCGCCGGGGCGTGGGGCCCCTACGCCAGCTCGCGCGCGTTCTTCTCCAACGTGGCCACCATCCTCATCATCCTCGCCTGCGTCTCCCTCCTCGCCTTCTGCCTCCACGCCGCCGCGCGGTGCCTCATCCGCTGCCTCGCCCGCCGCCGCGACTCCGGGGCGCCGGCGCTGGCGCCGGCGCTGGCGCAGGCGCAGCCGCCCAAGCCGTCTTCCGACGACGGCGCCAACACGGGTAGCTCGGGGGCGGCCAGCGCGGCGTCGGGGGTCGCGATGGTCGGCGGGTGGGCCGAGGCGGAGTGCGCCATCTGCCTGTCGGAGCTGGCGGACGGCGGCGGCGAGCGCGTCCGCGTGCTCCCGGCGTGCGGGCACGGCTTCCACGGCGCCTGCGTGGACGGGTGGCTCGCGGCGCGCGCTTCCTGCCCCACCTGCCGCGCGCCGTCGCGCGCCGGCGAGCCCTAGCCAGACAACCGACCAGGTGGCCGCTGCTCCCTCTTCAGTCTTCCCTGCATGCCTTCCGGCTTCTAGCTTTGCCGCCGCCGCCTCCGGCCGATCTGCCGGTGACGCAGACACGAAGTGACAACAAAGTACATTACGCTGGAGCTTGTTCAGCTAGCTCTGTGATGTTCATCGAGTACAGATTACAGAGTACCACCTAGTACTACTAGTACCTGTTCTTCCATGGTTCGTGACAATGCTGCTCGTCGCGTCGTCCATATGGATTAATGAAGGCATAATGCTCTTCCATTCGCATGGTTTTTGTTGGTTTTCATCCCAATTCCCAAGCTCGATGTTGCATTCTCGCAATCTTGGTCATGCATGCGCCGCTGCAACAACCCGCTGGGGGGGGGGGGGCGTGCAAAAGCCGGTGATTACGCCGGCGCCAGTGACAAACTGACGAAACGCCTGCGGGCTGCAATTGCAAGCACGCATGGAATTGGAATCAGGTCGCTGGAGACGACAAGCGTAGGGCGTTGTATAGGCGCCGTAGGCTGGTGACGCGGGAATATTAAGAGGAGGTACAATAGCAGGCTATAAGTCACCTACAAACATATTTTAAAAAGATAAATTATTTTAAAAAGATAAATCAGGAGAGATAAAAGCAGCGGGCTACAGATTTATAGCCAGCTGTAGCACAGACTCCAAGACGCAGTGTGTCTATAACATGTGGGACTAGGTATTAATAGTGCAGTATGTAACTATTGTATGAATGAGCTATTAGATTGGCTATAAATGAATTGGAGCCGGTAGTTGGCTATACTATTGAACTTGCTCTAAGTGGGGGCAGTGTGTGTGTGGTTGGGCTCTGCCGCGGCAGGAAGCATCGGTCATCGTCGCGGCCTGCGACGTGGCGTGGGGTACGGTCTCGGCTCGGGAGCCGCGCCGTTGTGTCCGGTAGCCCAAGTCGCCGAGGCGGCGAGGCCCGAGTGCCCGACCGCCCGAGGGCCAGCAACAGCAAGGCGTGACGATCTCCTCACCGAACGAGCGGACAGGACAGGACAGGGGAGGACACACTGCTGACTGGCTGACTGCTCCATTGTTGCCGGTGTCCTAGGAGCTGCGAAGCCTGAAAAGGCTATGGTGTCCCACACCCCCACTGTAGGAGTACTGCCTTTTGTTGCTTCTCTTTTCTTCGTTCTCTGCGTGCTCCCTCTGTACTTTCACGTCCAAAAGCTATTGTCTCTGAGGGCAGCGATTTTTACTTCGATTGCTCAATCGGGAACGCAAGGGTCTAGCTGTGTTTGCAACCCCATGTTCCCCCCATGTTCCTAGCCCCTCTTAATTGTTTTCCGCACGCGCGCTTTTCAAATTACTAAATGGTGTGTTTTTTTGCAAAAAAATTCTATACGAAAGTTACTTAAAAAATCAAATTAATCCATTTTATAAAAAATAGTTAATACTTAATTAATTATGTGTTCAAAGGCCGCTCCGTTTTACGTGCAGGAGGGATGGTTTTCCATCCTGCACTTGCGAACACACCATTTGTCAGTTTTTAAAATCATGGTAAATCTCATGATAATCGAATGCATCTTTACGATAACCACATAGTTATTGCGATAACCACCTTACCGTGAGATGGTAGTAACCCCACCCAAAACGGTTTAGTGAACCCTATCTATGACTAAGAATAAGTTCATTTTAGGGTGTGTTTAGTTCACGCCAAAATTGGAAGTTTCGTTGAAATTGGAACGATGTGATGGAAAAGTTATAAGTTTATGTGTGTAGAAAAGTTTTGATGTGATGGAAAAGTTCGAAGTTTGAAAAAAAAGTTTGGAACTAAACTCGCCTTAGGTCTCTTAATTTGTTGCCGTAATACTAGATATGATGTGTTCATCAACTCCCAAAACTAGCGTAAATAAGATCCTAAGGTTGTTTGGATGACGGTTTCGTCTGACGTGGTGCCTACGTGGCGTTAATGTGGCACTTAAAGTTTTTTAAAAAAACTGTAAGACCCACATGTCAGTGTTTGGTTAAAAAAAAGTTGCAGTGGGACCTACATCATCAACCCTCTTTATCTCTCCCTTCCTCCTCTTTTTTTTCCCTTATATTGTCGACTCATTATCGGCGCACGCATAATCGTGTCGAGAAACCACAAGCCAACAACGCCGCCACCACCATCGTCATGTCCATCCATCTATGTGCCCACGCCTTCGCGAGAACCAACTGCGCAGCCTCTTCGCCTCCACCACGACCATCTCCCCGTCGCCCGCGGCCAACGCCCTCCACTCCTTCCTCGATGTTGGGGCCGGACCGACCGGCCACCGTGCTCCTAGGACTCTCCTCCTCCATCTCCCGTCTCGCCTTCTCCTGTCGTGGTCGATCGCGTGGCTCTTGCCTACGCGGGTGCCCTCTTTGCAAGCGCCGCAGCCGCACCCTCCCTCTCCGACGTCGTCAAAGCTGCCGAAGAAGCGTCTGAGAGCATCCTACCAGCCGCCCAACACCGTGCTCATCATCAACACCTCCAACTTTCGCACCATTGTGTAGGAGTTCATTCTCCGCCTGTGTTGTTCGATTACTTCCTTTCCTCTCCCTCTATCTTCCTCTCCCTTCCCATCTCCATTAGGGCGGCACGCAGCGGGCGGCGTGGAAAGGCACGGCGGGAGGTGTGGAGAAGGGCGGCAGCCGAGCGTCGCCCGTCTTGGCATCTGGGCCCACACTATCGACGAGGTTCACTCCTAGCCGTGGGAGAAGCTCGAGTTCAACATTGCCCAATGGATTCCAGCCTTCTTCCCTCATCAGTGCGTAGGAGAGGATGAGGCAACCAATGGTGGGGAGCGAGCATCCCACACCCGTCGGCAGGGTCGGCAACAGCTGCAACGTGCGCTGGTGTCGGGGACAATGAGGAAAGGGAGAGCAAAGGGGAGGGAGAGAGAGAGCGTAGAGGAAGGGGTGATGAAGTTGGTCTCACAATAATTCTTTATTTTTAATCTAACACTATCATGTGGGTCCCACCCATTTTTTATGATTGCAAGTGCCTCACCACGTGGGATGAGGACCCAGTCAAATCAACCATATAAACGTCACGTCATCCAAACCATCTTGGGGTCAAGTTTGCACTGTTTTAAGGAGTTAAAGGACATGTTATATCTGGTATTTCGGTTTAGGGATGAACTTAAGACTCGGCGACAAATTGAGGGATATAAAGTGAATTTATTCCCTATATGACTATCGTGTTTAATGCCAAGTGTGCTTCAGGCCCAATTGGGCCCATGGACCAGCTTAAAGCTAATTCCTCCTCTCGACTGAGCCGTGTGAGTTGTGACTTGTTGTGTGACCCATGGTGGACTCATAAGCCAGTGCAGGTTGGAAGGAGTGTGGGCCTATAAAAAAAGGGAGACCACACCCTTTGTTTTGAGTTGTTGTCTTGTTGAACCGGTAAAACATGTAACTATGTTTGGTCATGTTTGATTTAGATTATTGTTGATCGCGAATTATCTATCTGATTAAGAGATAAATTGAATATTTAATAAATAACTTAAAACAAGTGGTTAATGCGGTAGAAGAAATTTTTCTTTAAAAGAAAGCGTAATTTGTTAAGTATGGAGCACATAATCAGTTTGATTAATTCGGTGAATAAAAAGAAAAAAACACGACCAACGTGGAACATAAGCGCAGCAGTGGAAAAGCTTGCTGAGAAAAAAAAAACAAAAGACTGAAGATGTTCTTTCATTACAATATTACTCATTCTTTGCTTTCCTGAGAAACTCGAGAGCCTCAGCACAAAGTTTCAGCCGTGCTCTGCGTGTTGCGATGGTCACGCAACTAAATAAACGATTCAACACGTCGTCAGAGGATGAGGAAGGGGCTTAAGAGCCTGAAACGTTTGTCACACCGCCGTCCAACTCTACACCCGTGTAGTCGTGTACTACTACCACTACTGCTATCCCTAGCAAAGGAATTTGGATTAGGCATCTGTCAACTGTCAATATTGGCAATCCACTCACTCAAGTTAAAAAACACGTCGTTTTGGATATTGACACGATCTTTAAGATGCAACTTTGATCTCCAAGCCTATATGTGTTGTCATTCTGTTGCTTTTGGCCAACTCAAGTGTGTTCAGAAATAAAGCTATTATATTTGAACTCTTTTCTTACATTTGGTTTCCAATTTTCCCGGTGCAAAACCCTCTTTAAACTGCTCTGTAAAAATATTGTTTTGGCAGTACTGGTCTACTGGACTCTCTAGGTGCTTTCCATGAACATCTATTTGTTTTCTACTTGCAAAAAGAACCCATCAGGTACATGAACTCAACACCACCAATTTTATATTTGGCACACAGCTAGCTATGCTACAAATATACTCTCAGAAAGTCAAAACAGAAAAACAACCAACAAAGTTGATTATTGTACCCATACTCATTTGACGCCAAACAATAAACTATAACAACAATCTCAATCACATAGAAGTACCATATTCTCACATCCGTGTCAAATTTTATGAATTAGAGGCATTTATATATATCCGGTGTCTAAAACTTCAAAGCACGCAAGTAGGCGGCAGTACTCCGTTTTAAGAGACCAACAATAGTGTCTTGCGATTCTTCACACGCCAAAGCAACTGTAGGATATGTAAGATAACCCCCGGGAATCAATGGAAAATATTCATCCATCCCTTTGAAGCTTCCTCTTCTCCATTCCATCAAACAAGCCCCTAACGCGCATACCACGAACGTGCTCCGTTGCAGGATATGGTGATGCCAACGTCGCATCTTTATCTCTTCCAGTAAACGAAGCTTCAAATTCGAGATCAATATTACCTTTTTTTAAAGAATAGATCAATATTAGTATTGATCCGGTTTTTTAGAGAAGACTTAGCAACACATGAACTTCCTATTTCGAATTTGACAAGAATTATGCTTGCATAATCAAGAAACTAAATAAATGGAAAATACTGGTGATGTGGGGTGGAGTCATCCATGACTCTACTCATACGGTTTATATCCTAGTGTCCATGGGTATTATGGACACGTAGCTGGGGTTTCAATAGGATTTTGGTGAGTTTAGAGATGTGCTAAATAAATACTACTTTTTCCGGGCTGATAATACTTATCGTTTTAGACAAGTGTGAGGTCAAACTTTAGAATATTTGATTATGAATCACTTTTAAAATATTTGTCAATCAAATGTGATGACTACATGTATAAATTAGTCTTAAAAATACTTTAATAAAATCATATATTTGTTAACACTTTTATATATATTATAATGAAAAAAAGGTCAAATTGTTTTTTTAGAGATCGTGCTCTTGTCTAAAATGACAAATATTATCAACTCGAAGGGAGTAA